GACCCAGGATATCTCCCGGTACGTCAAAAGCTGCTCAGTCTGTGCCATGGCTAAAGTTCCCAGACGCCTTCCTGAAGGCAAGCTTGTACCCGTACCTATACCCACAAGACCTTGGTTCCACATCGGGGTGGATTTCATCACAGATCTTCTGATTCCTACACCTGTGTGTTGGTCGTAGTAGACTGTTTCTCAAAAGCTTGCAAATTGATCCCTCTGCCTGGTTTATCCACAGCCTTCGAGACTGCTGAGACTCTCTTCAATCAAATCTTCAGACATTTTGGCATACCCGGAGGCGTCATATCAGATCCTGGTCCACAATTTATGTCTAGGGTATGGAAATCTTTCTTCAACGTCCTGGGAGTTTCTGTAAGATTAACGTGTTGCCTCGACCATCAGGACTGCTGGAACCGCTACCTACCCTGGGCCGAGTATGCACAGAACTCCCTACAGCAATCCACCACGGGTCTCACAGCCTTTTAGTGCATACTCAGCTACCAACCGCCCCTGTTTCCCTGGTCAGGAGAGCCTTCCGACGTTCCAGCAGTCCACCATTAGTTTCAAGAGAGCGAGAGGGTCTGGGACTCAGCACACGTTCATCTGCAGAGGGCTGTTCGGAGACACAAGAGCCAGGCCGACGCAAGGAGATCAGCGACTTATACCAGGTGGGCAAATGGTACTGTCACAGAAACACCATCGTCAGCACCAGACCTCCACACTCCGCCCACTCGTTCCATATCCCCTGAGTTCTAATCACCTTCACCTGTCATCGTCACCTGCCAGCAATCTGGACTCTCATCGCCAGCACCTTAAAACACCACAGTTCCCTCAGTTCACTGTCTGGTCTCTGCGTTTTGCCATCGACTACCTGACTCTCCTTCAGGATCTCTACAGCCTGCTATCTGTCTTACCTGCTTCGTGCCGTCCATGAGACTCCCGTCTGCAGCTCTGGTCCATCTGTCTTCAGCCTGTCATCCGTCTTCTGCCCAGCTCGATATCATCAAACCTGTATCAGATAAGAGACTCAGTCAAATACAAACATCTCATCCATTATCCAAATCTGTCTTCAAATCATCTACTCGCCTGCCGTGTCTGTTCCTGAGTGCTTTAAATAAACATCTATTTACGTCGTTTTGATCTGTGACAATGACATAATCATCATGTAGTGGTCCGATTCACTGATCTAATCTAGAGTCTAATCACTTATTATATTAGTTATTAATTTTACATTATTGTGTATTGTAGCTCTAGTACTACCACATGAGATCCTGCAATGTTGTGATGTTTTGAAACAATGCTGACAGTCAACAAATAATTCAGATAAACAGATGAACTTTGAACCTCAGAAAACAAGCTAAAGTCACAAAAAAAGCTTTTTGTTGATTGTCACTAGTGTTGTCACGATACCAAAATTATTTTTTCGATACCAAGTCAAGAATTGCGATTTCGATAATTTTTCGATACTTTTCCTGAAAAGGAAAAGTATTTCTTACAAGGCATTTCTATAGCTACACCTCCTTTGTGCAGGTCTGTGCTCTTTAAATGCTGTAATAACCTAATATAAATTAATCACTGACAAACATGCACATTCTCTGATTATAATCATATAGCCCAGTGTTTCTCAACCTCTCCTGCAGGGACCCCCTGACAGGCCATGTTTTTGTTTTAACTCTGAAATGGCACACCTGATTCAAGTAATTAAAGGCTTAATGAGTAATTAGAGTAGGAATAGTTCAATTAATCAATTAGTCAACTACTCATTAAGCCTTTAATGACTTGAATCAGGTGTGCCATTTCAGGGTTAAAACAGAAACATGGCCTGTCAGGGGGTCCCTGCAGGAGAGGTTGAGAAACACTGATATAGCCTATAGATCATTTTAGCTGATGTTTTGTATCCTTTATTTTAGCAGCTTGCAAATTATTAACGTTATCTATGAAAGTTGGGGGGAAAGTTGTACACGTAATACAAAAATAAATAAAACATCTCCAGTTAACTAGCAGAACATTCATTTAGTTCGCTATTAAATAAGAGATCTAGCGCTAAAATCTGTTGTTTTTCAAAAATAAGGTGAGCGCTTGTTGCCGCTGCAATCAGTGTCATGGATACAGTTGCTCTCGTGGCGGCGCAGTCTTCACTTAGACGCGCGCTTCAATCTATCGCCGTTGCGGATACTCTCTATTCGTTCCAGTGAGATCACAAAATAAAATGCTCACAAACGTGTCCCTGCCTGATGGTGTTGCTAAGAACTTGCAATGTATAACTATCAGACCGGCCCTCGCGGCCTCGAAACACTACCGGCCCACCGGGAAAAGTCCCGACTCTCCCGATTGCCACTCCGCTGACCGGCGGCCACAGTATCACTTGTGCTCGCACATGCAGCCATCTTGCTGTAGTGTTTGTCTCATGAAAGCTGCAGCTTCTTTGCTGTGTGCGTGAGGAGAAAAAACACAGATACCAACATGAAATACATCTCTTACAAATCTGGAACGCGGTCATTCTTAGAAGTATCGATAATAAATTTAGGAATCGTGACGTTTTTTATTTCCGAGAATCGCGATACTCTTGAAGTATCGGTGCACCGTGCAACACTAATTGTCACCATTGTTGAGATTCACATGCTAAGTCTAAATGTAGTAGCTCTAAACGTTTTCTGCATAATGATGTTATAGAATCTTTCACAATATCTGATTGTTATAACACTCATGAAACAATATCACAGGTCTACTATAATTAATAATGTGAAATTAACAGGTATATTCAGACTCGGAGATTTGACTCTGGATTTTATGAATCAGTCGTGATTGTTGTTATCAACAAGCCAACATCACCCAGTTTTCTCAAAAACACTAATGACCATAACGGTTACTTCAAACGTAACTATATTTTTCAATAAGGCATCAACATCTAAACCTCTGTTAATTCTCAATAAGAACTTTTGTACATGTATGAAATAAAGTCAAACTGGTTTCTAATAAGTGAAGCTGGTAATGCCGTTTTTGGGGTAATCATCCTCTGCTGAGATCTAGAGATATCTGTTCGTGTTTGATGTTCTGTTATTTTGGGATTTAATGGGTTTTGTGAGGTTACCACATTAAAGTAGAGCTTGTTCTTTAGTCGAGGATGGGCCAAAAAACATTGTTGTGCTTCATGTTGCTTTGTGTAAAAGGCACAGACTGTGTAATAGCCAATGCGATGTCTATGGTTAGTTCATTCATGCACGTGTTATTGAAAGCTAATGGTTAAATACATTAGATTTACATTTTACAGTGAAGGTGTTTGATCATAATAATTCGGGAAAAGTCTGTAAAACATTTCCTGAAAATATCTATAAAAGTATTTGTGACCCTGCCTGTGAAAACCCAGCTAAAGTTTTTTGTGAGTCGGAAAAGGGTGGCTTGCTCACTTCAGGTTGGTGGAGAGATCCTTCCTCAAGTGGAGGAGTTTAAGTATCTTGGGGTTTTGTTCACAAGTGAGGGAAGGATGGAACGGGAGATTGAGAGACGGATCGGTGCAGCTTCTGCAGTAATGCGGTCGATGTACCGGTCTGTTGTGGTGAAGAAAGAGCTGAGCCGTAAGGCAAAGCTCTCGATTTACCGGTCAATCTACGTTCCTACTCTCACCTATGGTCATGAGCTTTGGGTCATGACCGAAAGGACAAGATCCCGGATACAGGCGGCCGAAATGAGCTTTCTCCGCAGGGTGGCTGGGCGATCCCTTAGAGATAGGGTGAGAAGCTCGGTCACTCGGGAGGAGCTCAGAGTAGAGCCGCTGCTCCTCCGCATCGAGAGGGGTCAGCTGAGGTGGCTCGGGCATCTGTTCCGGATGCCTCCTGGACGCCTTCCCGGGGAGGTGTTCCGGGCACATCCCACTGGGAGGAGACCCCGGGGAAGACCTAGGACACGCTGGAGAGACTATGTCTCCCGGCTGGCCTGGGAACGCCTCGGTGTCCCCCCGGAAGAGCTGGAGGAAGTGTCCAGGGAGAGGGAAGTCTGGGCATCTCTGCTCAGACTGCTGCCCCCGCGACCCGGCCCCGGATAAGCGGAAGAAGATGGATGGATGGATGGATGTTTTCTATATAAAATCATCCTACATAATGTAAAGAGCATTCTGTGAAAATATAACCTTGATATCTTTAATATTGACTGAGTAAGACCATGTCAAAGATTTGCTTAATTATCGGCTCAGAAAATCATGTTTTTTGAGAAATTTCATTGTAAAAACGAGCTTATTTTTAAACCCGCAACAAATTTTAAACATAATTTTCCTGACTATGTGCCATATACCACATTATAGCTGAGATTCTCCCATTTTCAGTGATATAATATGATACATTTATGGGAACATTTTTAAAGTTATGTAAAACAAGTTTTTATTTATTAGATTTAGTATACAAGTATTTATTATGATGTGCATGTCCAAAAAGCGTGAAACATTGAAATGTATGGTGGGTAACATAACAGCTTGATTTACCAAGTCAGTTCAATGTAATGATTTGTATAACGTTAGTGGTATAATGAAATATCAGTAGAAAATGTCGTTAATATATAAATTAATGCATTTATAAAACATCAATAGACTATTATTGGGGGTAATAACTAGGGCTATTTTTTAACATTTGGAGTAAATCTGGGATTACACAGGAAAAGAAATGCCCTTCTTATTCATGAATGTTCTTTTCTTACAAACTGAAACACCAGACGCAAGTGCTTTGCTTTCGAAGGACATACACAACTTTTTTATTAATATATAATGCGCGTTCTTTATTTAGCCTACAAAAAAACCCTGTATATTAATATGTATGATAGGCCTATTATTTTGTTTTTGTGTATCATTGCAGAATCGTTTATGTCAGCATGCATCGAGATGCATCGGAAAAACGATTATATTCACAGCTCTAGTCATCACCATCGTTCTCCAGAAAATAATCCTCTATAAGACCGATTGTGTAATTCCACCGAAATGTATAGGCCTAGCATACAAGCTGTTTAAACAATCAGCTAACTTCTTTTCCTCGCGTTTCGTGTGTCGCCATGTCAGATAGGGAAATTATCAACAGGTATCACCAAACCCATCAATAGTTTGTTGGTGGTTTCAAAATTTGTTGTGGGTTTATAAGGTCATGATACCTGTTGTCTGACTTTTTATAACCTGTGATATTATAGAAGCATAAATTATTCTAAACATCCACAGAAAAAAAAACAATAAAAACCACAAAAGCGTCTAATAATGTAATTACAATGTGGAAAAAGAGGTTTATTTTGGAGATGGAAATATGATTCTCCGTTTAAGAAGCCTCTTCACAGACACCATGAACTCCTCCGTCTTGATTGTGTAGATTATAGGGTTAAGCATTGGAGGAAGTGCAGAGGTCAGAGAGAGATTAATGATCCTTGTGTTAGTGTCTATAATGGGCGCAAGTGCATATGTAAACGTGATGGGAGCATAAAATATAGCCACTAATATTAAATGAGCAGTACATGTTTTTGTGGCTCTTTGACGGTCTTGTGGGGTTGTAATTCTAAACAATGTTACAGCTATGCATGTATATGAAAAGATGATAAAAAATACTGGAAACCCGATAATCATTATCGGGTAAAAATCACTTATCACAGAACTTGGAAAGTTATTGCTACAGGCAGAGCGATATATAGGCCCATGATCACAGTAGAAACTCTTTATGATGACAATAACTCTGCAGAAAGAAAGTCTACTGATGAAGATTGTAGCAACAGTTACCATAAGCAGTGCCACTACCCATGTGACTCCACTTATAATAAGCATTGATCTATGAGTCACAATCATATGATACCTCAGTGGTAAACAAATGGCTATGAATCTGTCAAAAGACAGAACAGCAAGAGTTAGTGACTGTGTTGTAATAGATACAAAGACAGAGAACATATTGCACAAACACAATCCATACGAGATCAACTGATTCCCAAACAAAAATGTGTCCAGTAGCTGAGGGATTACAGCGGTACTCCCACAAATGTCTGTCAGTGATAAATTAAAGACAGCGATATATTTAGGAGTGTGAAGAGTTCGGTCTATAATGATAACAAGCATGAGGCATGAGTTTCCAAGCAAAGAAATAATGTAAACAAAAAACAAGAACATGTAATAATATCTTATGTGAGGTATACCAGAAAAACCTCTGATATAGAAATAAGATGGAATAGAAATATTCCTGTTTTCAGATAAATCTTCATTCATGGTCAGTTCACTCACTGATTCTGTATTCATCCTGTCTGGACAACAAAAAAAAAAAAAGTACATTATTCAGAGTTGTAAGAAATTCTTTCATTATGTTAACAAATACTGCAACATGGGAATCTAAGATAGATATTTTTACTCCAATTTGACCTTAAGCAATTATAATACATTATTATTTCCCATACTTAAGACTCTTAACTTGATCCCTGCAAAACAAGACTAAAAATATAAGCATATAAGATATTTCAAGCAACCAATTATATTTTAACATGGATCTTTAAACTTCAATTGCCTAATTGGACTAACATTTTGTGTATAATATGCAAGATTTCAGGATCAGTAGCTTTGATATACTCACAGAAAGGTGAAAAGCAGCACAATACAGTAAATCTAACAGGCACACATATACTGTAAAAAGACTTCCCCTGACCTTATACATATTGAACTATATAACCCTCAGATACAAACGGCAGGCCTCTCCAGTCTTATCAGTTGACCAATCATAGCAGAGAACTGGCATGATTAGTTACATCAGAAACAGTGACTAATCCACAGAGATGCAGCATGTAATTGTGAAGGGAACCCTTCACCTAAAAAAGTATAGAAGTTACAGGCACCTACAAAATCGCTGAAGGAAAGAGGAAAAACTAGAAGAGAATAGTGGTGTCAATTCACCAAATGCCAAGGTATGAAAAACTCTGATGACTTCATCCAATCTTACTCCCTTGACGTGACAGTCCCACTTTAAAGTAGCCTACTTCACATAACTTTTTCCAGCACTTCAAAGCTCAAAAGTCTGAAGTTTTGCAATGTAGGAAACTAACACTTGATAAAAAAAAAATATTTTAATTTTAAAATCTAAAAAGACATTAAATTAGCACTATAGCCAGCAGAATAGTGACCAGCAATTATTATAATAACATTTAAATGTATTTTTTCACAGATTTTTGTACTGAAGTGTATAGGAAAAGTCTCATGAAAAACAAAAAACTTTTCTTCAAATTGCGAATGAAATTAGCGAGTAATCACTGAAGGTGTCAGTCATTTTAGCACAAACTCAGAGTGTGAAAACTCAGTTTTAATCAATCAATCTGTCAAAACTGTGAATCTTTCATTTACATCATGTCTCTGCTTTGTTTGTTATAATTAGAGGATTTGTGCACATGCAGAACTTAGTAATAAACATGCTTATTAGTTATATTACTACTAGTTATATTAAACGTGCGCTATAAACTCATTTAGCGTTTTGAGAGATACTGAGCGGATTCAATTCAATTCAAATTTATTTGTATTTTGCACTAACTGTAGCTTGTTTATTGAGGATGCAGGACAACCAGCTAATAAAGTATTACAGTAATCTAGTCTCGAGGTCATGAATGCATGAACTAACTTTTCTGCATCAGAAACAGATAGCATGTTACGTAGCTTAGCTAACAGCAATGTTTCTAAGGTGGAAAAAGGCTGTTCTTGTAACATATGAAATATGATTTTCAAAAGACAAGTTGCGGTCTAGTATAATGTAGTACACGGGTCATATAATATTGCACTTGTTACTAGTATTAACCATAGGCCAGTAGGTTCGACTATGGAGGTGTAATAAAGACAAAACTGGTTAAATAATAAAGTAAATCTTTATATTTAAATGAATGACTGGAGTAATTGTTGATATTCAAAAGAAAGGAAAAACAAACAAAACAAATTGTCAGTTATTTTTGTTCAATGTAAAACCACAGTTATAGTGATTCACTTCAATTCACAATAAGTGAACAATTTCACTTGACTCTTTTGTTTGTTCAATCAGTTTGGGTTCACCCTCTAGGCTATACAGATTCCTAGAATACTACACTTTCAATATAAAATAGAACCCCATAAACATTGATAAATGTTCACAATTGAAAAGTTTGACAGTTCACTAAATCAAGTTCAAACATAAAATAAAATGTACAAAATGCAAAAACAACAGTTCAGAAGAAAACAATTCACATAGGTCAGTTCAAAAGACTCATTTGAACTGTTCAGTTCAAAAGGTTGAGTTGGAAAAGTTCACTTCAAATTCGTTAGAGGATCCGATTCAAAAGATCCGATTCAAAAGATCCGATTCAAAAGACTCAGTTCAGAAAATCCACAGTTCGTTAGAATCGCGGAAAAGTGATTCAACAGTTCCAGAGAAGATCTTTTTGCACAGAGAAACAAAATACTCTGAGCAGTCTTTCAAAAATAAAACTCAGTCCCGTTTAGGAAAAACTAGCAGGCAATCAGAACATTCCTACCCAATTCCACAGGTGTTGGATTAACTCAAATCTCGCATCAAGCATTAACGTTCATCTCGCTGGGAAGGCTCGCCATCTTAGGTCGTAATGCTGAAAAGAACGCAGTTCCAGCGTAGCACAAAAAACCTGACCTGCATGTGCAACAGGCAGCAATTAGTTCACAGCACATTAAATTCACAGCTTTTAGTTTAACAGCAGTAAATTAGATTAAATAGTAACACTTGTTATCCTGTTCAGCATTAGGGCTGCAACAAACGATTATTTTGATAATCGATTAATCTAACGATTATTAGAACGATTAATCGACTAATCGTCGATTATTTTGCAGACTAATCAGTAAGTTTGGAACGATTATTCAGCTTTTCCAATTAGTTAAAACATTGAGTTATACATATTCTAACTATAATATAAAAAAAGAAAATCACTTCAGCTTTTGAAATAGTTGTTTTAATGAACTTTGAGCCAACTAAACAGGTCATTCTCTTTAAGTTTTCAGATTTCGGTCCAACTCAAATCACACACAAATGCTCTCTAAGCATTGTTTAATAGGCCCACTGCTTTTCTTAGAACTGAAACAGAAAAAGGGACATTTACTTCAGGACACAAAGAATGGCAAAATATTAATCTGCAAACAATTATTATAATTATAAAATTACAATCTTTTTTTACATGACAATTGAGCTGACAGAGACGTTCTCATTCACCTTTTAATTTATAGTATGATAAAGTAACTGCCATGATATTCTTCCTATATCATAGGAAGGATATAACATCTCGTTTTGTAAGTATTCATGATTATTGAACAAAATACAGGCAAGTGATAAGACTAGCCTATAATAATACCTAATATACTAATAGTGTTACAATAATAAAAACAGCCCTGACTCCTAAGCTCGATCAAGCTTTATTCTATGCAAAATAAGTCATCACATTACTGTAATTATATTACTATTGATAATATTATTACTATTATTAGTAGTATTGCATTCTCTAATAAAGAGAGATTTACCGCTGGTTAGTAAGCTCCAGCTGGAGAACACTCACTTCTCACCGGCTCCTCTTTTGCCGGGATGTTTCCTCTTGCACTCCAACATGCATGTTGTGCTTTTTCACGGGAGAAAAGCAAGTTCCGCCTTGCATGTATTGCACACGACAGCATTATTGATTTGAAGTTTTGTGAAACTTTCCCAAACCTAAACCTTGCTAGTTCGGATTCGTTTGCACTGTCATAATTCGCGCTGTTTTCTCTTCTACCGCAATAGCATTGGTAAGGGCTGCACTACACTCTAGCGCTACAGCGCCGTAGCGGTCAAATCGCGATATTGCAGGCCCTTACATTAGGTCACGTGAGATCAAACGACTACTCGACAACAAAGATATTTGTCGACAAATTTTTATTGTCGACGTTGTCGACAACGTCGACTAATCGTTGCAGCCCTATTCAGCATATAACAGCTACATGTCCATCGAAATTCGACAGCTTAGATAACATTATGCAACTTAAACATCATAAAATCACTCGTTCAATAACGAACATGAACATCACAAACTCATATACACATATTTTAAACATTACATCACTTTTTGCTCGTTAAACATCAGATCTTATCAGCATTTCATACTGACGAAAAAAATACGTTTTCACTCTCTCTCTCAATTTAACACATCAATACACAATTAATCACATTTATGAAAGTTTACACATTTCAAAATGTGTACTCACCAAATCCAAAGAAAATAGATCATATAAATGTCTCCTATTCAGTCCTCTCTGACGATTTTAACTTGTACACAAAGTTATGCTGCTGCTCGTCTCACAGTCACGCAGAGAAAAAAAAATGGATTCGCCCATACAGCACTAACGTGGTGGGGCGGGACTTCAACATAAACCTCACGTAATTGGACAAATCAATAAAATGTCAATCATCACACTGACATGCATTTCTTTTTGATTTTATATTTTTTCTTACACTTTTTTACTAATTCTGATTAGTTTATTATTTTAACAATTCTCTAATTAATTCCTTTTTATAATTCATTAGCAAAATTATACAGGGTTACATTCTCCCCTCTTAAAGGTAAGCAAGTCTCTTTGCGTTTTGTCCTTTACTTGACCCTTCAGTAACTTTTAGGCAGCACTAAGTCAGTTTTAGGTAAATCAGCAAGATTCATTGAATTAACGACTGCCTCACTCAATGACTGGAACAAGTTTTGGACTACTGAGGTAAGGGGATTACCCAACTGTGGGTAATGGAATTTCTTTGGAGGTTTTGGGACCCTGTTTGATCTTCTTAGGTTTTGATCTGCACTTGATCTTGCATATGCATTAACTTGTTCTGTTTCTTCTTCCAGATCATGAGCATCCGGGGACATATCTTTTTCCTCCTCATCACCAGCTGGATCGGATGATGGTAAGTATCCTCCTTCAATTCCATTTCCTGTTGGTACAGTTTCTGGTACTTCAGGATCTGTAGGTTCATACATTTCTGTCACCTCTCCTAAACTCTCATCCAATGGAAGAATGTAAGCTGGACCGTTCACAGGCTGGGGTAATTCTGTTTCATGAGGTAAATCAGGTTCCTGAGGTAAGTCAGATCTCAGAGGCAAGTCTTTTTCTTTTCCATCAGCCACTTTTGACTTTGTGGTGTCATATGCATAGGTAATCTTTGTTTTTCCAGTAGGAATTCTACTGAATATGCAAATTTCATCCTCTGAATCCGATTGTTCCTCATTTAACAGTTCTCTCTGTC